TAAACACTAAACCCTAAACCTGTATGGGAGGTGGAAGCTTTTCAGCCCACAGTGACACAGCACGCCATCCTAGGTGTAGACCCGCTCTCAATGCTCTTGGTTTAGGGCTTAGGGTTTAGGGTTTAGGGTTTACTATTTCCTCCTCTATTTCAGAGTGAGGATTTCATATCCCACCGTCAAGCGCTCACTGAGCAGCAATTGGCAATGGTAGAACAACGATTGCAAGAGTTGTTGAAGCAGTTGCCGCCGCTGATGCCACCCCTACAGCAGCAACAACAACAACTACCGCCGCCGCCTCCTCCGTCCCCGGCCCTACCACTCTCAACGGTGCCGCCACTGCTGCCGGTGGTCCTAGCGGAGGTTTGCCGGCTTGTTAAGGAGGCCATGGGCGAGAAGATGTGTCCAATGGTTGAGGAGCCGTCCATGGCTGAGGAGAGCATGCTGGGTGAGGACACACGATTGCCACCACTGCCACAACCACCACGACCGTCGCCACCGTCGTCACCACGACCACCATGACAATCGGCACCATTGCGACCGTCCTCACCACCACCACCACCACCGCAAGGGATGGGGACCATCACCAGTATGATCAGTGGATTGGTATCATCATTGTTGTTCCTACTGTGTCTAGCACACTAGGAATGTCTATTATACTCCAAAAGATGAAAGTATGTAATCAAGTGTGTGTGTGTGTGTGTGAGATTGTGTAACTTAGAGTGTAGATTGCTACTACTACAACCATTGATCAGGCACCCTAGCCTTGATCTAGCTAGAATCTTTTGTTTTTTTAATCTTCATTTAATCACTGTGGCTCTTGTGCCTTTGTTGAGACTGTAAGCTCTTGTGGATGCTCAAAACTTTGGCCAGGTCAACGCTCCCAATAGCGTAGATCAGGCTGGTCATGCCACTTTGCACAAGGCTCTGGTGGATCGCTCGAAAGCTTCGACCTGAGCGCAAGCATCAAGAACGATCCCGAGAGTGAGATAGAACGTCAGCCTCGCAGCGCTGGTAACTAGAGCAAGCCAAGATTGTGATGCGAGCAAGCTTCCACCATGGTCACCACACAATCCTTGAGATGGCAGAACACGCTGTGAGCGCCTTAATGATGGTCACCTCCTTTGGCCTCAGCCTTGAACAAAAGAAGTGTCGCCCTCTGATGCCATTTGGACTTTGGAACAACACTTTGGAACATCGTGGCCCTACGCGAGCCTCATGTCTCTCTCCGGAATCGAACCCTAATTCCCCGTTACCCGTCACCACCATGGTAGGCCTCTATCCTGGGTACTCTCCCCAAACCCTAAACCCTAAACTCTAAACCTGCACGGGAGATGGAAGCTTTTGAGCCCCCAGTGACACAGCATGCCATCCTAGGTGCAGACCCACTCTCAGTGCTCTCGGTGAAGAAGAAGACGCCATTGACAACGTTGCGGTGTGCAGAGAGCTCGCCTGGCCTATGAAAACCCTCACCAAGTCCTTGCAGCTGTAGATGATCCAATTGCCGCCGAGGCTCCAATCGAGGCAAGTGATCGTGTCCTGGATGCTGGAGAGCAACTGAAACGCCATGAACTCCTTGCGGCACCCAGGCATTCCACCAGCAAGAGTAGAGGCGAAAGCATTGCAAAGGGGAATCGAGCTAAGGTCTTATTAATTAGGGCTCTTGGGGTGGATCTAGCAAAGCAGTGAGAGATCATGAATCTTTTTATTCTCCTCCTTCTACTGTTTCCTCCTCTATTTCAGAGTGAGGATTTCATATCCCATCGTCAAGCGCTCACTGAGCAGCGATTGGCAATGGTAGAACAGCGATTGCAAGAGCTATTGAAGCAGTTGCTACCACTGATGCCACCCTTGCAACAGCAGCAGCAGCAGCCGCAGCAGCTGCCGCCTCCTCCTCCGTCCCCGGCCTTGCCGCTCTCAATGGTGCCGCCACTACTGCCGCTGGTCCTGGTGGAGGTTCGCCGGCTTGTTAAGGAGGCCATGGGCGAGAAGATGTGTCCAATGGTTGAGGAGTTGTCCATGGCTGAGGAGAGCATGCTGGGTGAGGAGACACGATTCCATCTCGGGTCCATCTCGGACTCCATCTCAGGTCCATCTTGGGTCCATCTCAGACTCCATCTTGTGTCCATCTTGGGTCCATCTCGGATTCCATCTCGGACTCCGTCTCAGGTCCATTTCGGACTCCATCTCGACTCCATCTCAAACACTTCCACGTGTCATGCTGGTCCTTTTGTCTCCCTTTTCTAGAGACTCATTCATTGCTTGCTTCATGCTTGTTCCTCGAGCACTTCATTGGACCTTGTTTTTGATCCCACTGATCTCGATATAGATGTCACACCAGGGGTACGATTGGTCTTTATGGGCTCACTAGATGTGAAGCTTGTTGTTGCCTTCTGTGTAGGCAATCAATGATGCACTGGAAAGCAAGCGTTATTCATGAGCATTGAAGCTGGCACTCCGGTTGAATGAGCCACTGCTGATTCAGAAATGTGTGGAGGCCGTTGCGATCAGTGGTGTTGTCTGCAACGTTTCACTTTCGTACCTTGGAGATGAACTTGCACAGTGCCTGGAGAAGACACCTCATTTGGAGTTCTTACTGGTATGTATCAAGTTAGAAGGAAACATGTACTAAGTTGGCTTTGTTACAGGAGCTTTCCATTGGCAGAACAATCTAGTTGAAGAGCAGGGAGCTCATGCCCGCTCTCAAGTCCCTATCTTGCAGCAACAACTGCCTCCTAAAACGACTACCTTCTCCATTACCTGTGCTCGGCCCCAACTAAGAGCAAGAGCATGGAACAAAGCTCGGACTTGTATGATAACGGACACGCCGCTCGGGCTTGAGAACTCAAGTGAACTTATTTGTGGGGCACCACTCCACATGAGTCGGGAGCACCGCAGTCGGTTTCCCTTTCGGGAGTGGGAGCTGCTCTTGAACACTTCCCTGGGTGGCCCCTCCGGCACCACTCAAGCCCATGCTCACTCCCCCCCAAGGCCCCTCGGCCCCAATCTCAACCTCAAGTCAGTTTGGAAGCACCACTGGAGAGTTCCTTCAAGACTGGTTCCTGGACCTCACTATCCCTACTATACTTTTGGAACCCCCTGCAGCCCCCCCCCCCTGGGAGACACACGCTTTGGGCTTTCACCCCTTGACCTGTATTAGTACTCGGACTTAGTCTCTGGCTCGATCTCGGACTCGATCTTGGACTCGATTTCGGACCCGATCTCGGACTCGATCTCGGACCCAATCTCAGACTTGACCTCGGACTCGGTCTTGGACCCGATTTCGGATCTTGGACTCCGTCTCGAACTCGGTCTCGAACTCGATCTCCGAGTCGGTCTCGGACTCGATTCCGGACTCTATCTCGAACTCGGTTTTAGAGTCGGTCTTGGACTCGATCTTGGACTTGATCCCATTCGATAAACTCTTTATCATTTTGGTCATGCTTTCGGGGATCCTTTAGCCTTCGACACCTCGGCGAGTTGGTTCCTTACAGAGAGCTTGCTTCTCTCTCCTAGCCCTCTGCTCACGCTTGCGGGTCTCACTCACCCTCTAGTACTTGTCTATAAGTTTCTCATACTCATAAAGGTTGTGTGAAACAAGCAAATCTTTCTGAATCCTTGGTTTGTTGTTATAGATCCTGGTGAGCTCTGACCTCATCACGCTAATCGGAACCTTCTTTGTCTTTGTCTTTCTCGAGAAACTTCTCCACATGCATATATTTTTTGTTCTTTGATGGTTGGTGGGATCGATGTTTCCTCCCTGCTCCTCGCTTAAACAATGTCTGCAACACAAACAGCACAACGTTAAACATCCACACAGTAACCATAAAACTGATTTCATACCTCTTCTCTGTTGTGGACCTTCAAGTTTAGTTTCCTCTTGAGAAGAGGTATGAAATCAGTTTTATAGTTACTGTGTGGACGTTTAACATTTTGTTGTTTGTGTTGCAAGTGACATTGTTTAAGCGAGGAGCAGGGAGGAAACATCGATCCCACCAACCATCGAAGAACAAAAAATATATGCATGCGGAGAAGTTTCTCAAGAAAGAACAAGCAAAGACAAAGAAGGTTCTGATTAGCACGGGGAGGTCAGAGCTCACTGGGATCTATAATGACAAACCAAGGATTCAGAGAGATTTGCTTGTTTCGTGCAACCTTTATGAGTACGAGAAACTTATAGACAAGTACTGGAGGGTGAGTGAGACTTGCAAGCTTGAGCAGAGGGCTAGGAGAGAGAAGCAGGTAAGCTCTCTATTTTGGTTTTTTCTTCTTTTGAAGCTAACATCGGTTTCCAAAAAAGGCTGAAAGCGAAATTGAGTGAAAGAAGTTACAGCGGAAGAAGGTAGGTTTTTCTTTTCTCTTTTCTTCTTTTATAAATAAATTTTCAGAGAGAAGTACCAGCTGGCATCACCGGAGAAGTATGAGCTGCCATCTACGACTCCCCTGCACCCCCTCTGATGACTCCTGGCCAGCTCCTGGCCGCTGCTGGGTTCGAGAATCCAATGTCGGGCGACTGCCATCAGGCCCAGGAGCTTCTCAACCGTCAGGTTCTCTATTTACCTTTTTATGTTTACAATGTTTACTTTTAACATGTAACTGCAGACCAAGGAAGATGAAGCAGACCAGCCGCCTGTTGAGGTTTTCCGTTTACAGTTTTATATGTGCTTGTCTTACTTTTAACATTTAACAGACCGAAGCTGAAGGGGCAGCGACTGTTGAGCAAGGAACCGATGACCGTCAGCTGCCAGTTCAGGTTTGTTGTTTACCGTTTTATGTTCACAAGATCTAGTTTTAACATGTAACTGCAGACCGACAAAGATGAGGAGCCGCCTGAGGCCAGCCCAGCAGGGACCATCGATGACGATCAGCCACCTGTTCAGGTTTTATATTTATTGTTTTATGTCCACAACTGTTATTTTTAACATATAACAGCAGATCGAACTCCGGAGAACTGTACCTGTTCAGGTATTTTGTTCACTGTTTTATGTCCACCAGCTCTTCTGTTAACATGAAACTACAGTTATCAACATATTCTCGGAAGAAACTAAAGCAACAGCCATCGGTTGACAATCAGGTACCTGCCAAAGATGTTGAACACAAACGTGTTTAGGTTTGTTGTTTATTATTCGACTGTTGACTCTTTTAGTGACTCTTTTTTTCTGACCTCCGGAAATTCCTCTCAACATGTCATTCCCCACAATCTCTGCAAATGTTAAGGCCCAGAATCTATAAGTTGATACAATTTGAGAACATTCTCAACAAAAAAACAAGAGTACCTTGAGAACATAGTTGGAAACTATACTTGTTCTTTGGCCTTGAATGGCTGAGGCCTGCAAATACCAGCACAAATCCAGGTCAGGATCACGAGCACAACATCACATACTTTCATAAACGCATCGATATCTGGATCTGGCTTGATTCCTGCTGCTCTCTCACGCTTGGCCAGTTCAGATAACATTTCTGCGTTGCAGGCAAGAGAAGTTGGAGTTTGTAGGGCAAGTAGCAACAACATACCGACCGTATGAAGAGCCAACACCTTGGCAGCGCGATGAGAAGTCAAATGTCTCCCGTACTGTCAGTTCGCCCAGGTGTACGTCATTTTGACTGGTGTATGAAGCAGTTCGTTGAGGCACAAACTCGTGTAATTCATGACCATTGTAGGTAACACTTCCAGTTACCTGCAAATTCTAAAGTTTAGGCAGTGCAATACGGTCCATTTCACTCTGACCTTCAAGTCATCCCTGAGCTTCCCAGAAAGAGCGAGAAGAAATGTGGTTCTTCCAGATCCGGGAGGTCCAAGGAGCAGTGTTATCCTGGAAAAGCTTCCCGATTTACGCAAGGAAAGAGATGGACATGAAACCGACCTCGATGGTTTTATTATCCCGCTAATGTTGTTTAGGACGGTAAGGGATCTTTTTCTGGTGGGGACAAGGCGCACCATGTCCAGTATGCTCTGCAGCATGCAGATTTGAGAAACATCGGACACAGGCAGATGAGTTAAAACCTCTATCCAGTTGAGTGTTGTGTTCCATAGCGTTGGCAAAGCCCTGCTTCCAACGTGAACGCGTGCAACGACATGAAGGTGTTTGAAACGAACTTCAATCTTTTAAGCCGACCCTGGACAAGAGTAGGAGATCTTAGTTTGAAAAGTCAAGCAAAAGCAGGAGCGAGAGATACCTGTCAATCCTATCCCGTAGCTTGGACAAGAACAGCTCGTTGTCTTCTTCGCCAATCCCAATTATCGTCTGCACAATCCTCTGCTTGTGCTCGACATCGAGCTTTGAAAGTTTTTCGAAACCCGGTCACAGCGTTTTTTCCATGGTTACGATGGTGGTGATGGTGGTGGTGGCGGTGGTGGTGCTTACTTCGACGATGTTTTGCTACTCGAGCCTGCCGCGCTTGAACGTACTGGATGACATCTTTGAAGGCAGCATCACGGTGCGTGGGAGAAGACTCGGAATCAAGCTCTAGTGCAAGCTTCTCGTCTCTCAGCTTGGACCTGGGTGCATCCCTGTGAACGACACTGAAGCCGATGCTTGTGCTTCCATCGCTGGCCTCGAGCACGGATCGGACGTCCAGAGAATGAGCAGCAGCAACAGTCAATCTGATGAGCACAAACAGCAGCAACAATGGTTTGCAAGGCTGCATTGTTTGCTCTTCTCTGGAGCGAGCAAGCTCCTTTTATGGGCAACGTCCGGCCGATCCATCTGTGGAGTAACGTAAGAGGCCTGTTCTCGAGGTGGCAAGAAGCAACTTAAGCTGGAAGCCGTTTTGGTTTATGCTTAACATCCGAGATTGACACAATCACAAGGTGGAAGATTCTACTTCCTTGTACAAGCCTCAAAAATCCAGGACACCAGGAAAAGATGGAAGTTTCATCTATGATATCTCTCATCAGGTACGTGTCAATATGATCTTCCACATCCTAACATTCCAACTGTGCTTTTTTGTAGCTATGTGTGATCGGGCGGAAGCGATTCATCACAAGGAAAAGGTAAGCTTGCTGTTGTTTCTTTGTTACTCTAACTTGTGCTTGCTTTGTTTCCAGAGCTCTTCAATCGAGCAGCACGATCATACTGAGGAATCCATTCCAAAGGGGAACAGCCTCAACCAAACGCCGATCATGGCACTTACTGGAACAGCCTCAACCAAACGCTTTCGACTGTGTCGCAGGACTCGACAACACTGCTCCCACTTCCAGGTGTGATCCTGTGCGAGAGAGTGGAAAGAAAAAAGAAAGAGATCTTCCATAAAAGCTTGGAGGAGATCTTCTTTAAGTTCCAGCGACCAAGTCGAGAAGAAATAAACATCCAATAAAGGCCACCGTGATAAAAGTGTAGGACGATTAACCTCCAACCCACATCGCCAATTGGAAGCATCCAGGTCGTGGACCGCGCCAGGAAATGTGAAACAGAGCCGCGATGCTGATTTCTCGGGCTGCCCGTCACCCTCCGCCGCTATGGCCGATGCCCACCGCCACCACCACGAGGAGGAGCGCCAGGAGGAGGACGAGGGTGGCGGCGGTGGCGATGAGCAAATCCTCCACTCGTCAAAGGGATGCTGCCGCTTCCTGCTATCGCTCCGGGCGCTGGTGGTGGTCACGCTGGTGCTCCACTTGGGCATCTCCGCGCTGGGCACCGCAATGGCTGTGGTGTCGTCCTCCTCCAGCGGCTGCCCACGATCGCTGCTAGTGGCGGCGGCGCTGGTTGCTAGCGGCGCTTGCGCGCGAGTGGCTTGGGTGGTGGGCACTGGCTTGTGCCAGGCCGCCACCGCGGTTACCATGATCGCCGAGGAGCACGTCCCAGCTTCTCGGAGGAGGACGAGCGGTGCCACCAGCGCGGCGATCAGGATTGGGAGACGGGTAAGAAACAAGCAATGTGGATTCTCATCTCTTTTTTCTTCCTTGTGCTCTTGCTCGAGCACAGATTTGGTCACCTCCTTCCAAACAGGAGGAGCTTGCTACTTGACCATCTTGGCTGTGAGGAACGCTCGTTCATCCTTTTGCTTCCCTGGTAAGAATCAAGCACTGTGTTCTTTGGATCTTCTCCTTTGTTATCTCTCTCGTGGCACAGGCCCTGATGCGGCGGCATTGTTGCGAGACACGCTTGTCATCCTTCCCATCGCTACATGGCTGCTCGTCTTGGTACAGTGTTGCGTTGGCTCGGACGTGCTCTCTTGGAGGTCGCTCTACGAGATGCAACACGAGGCATGGCGCGCTCACTACCGCGAGATTTTCGATCGCGGCATTCGAGAGCTGCTTTGCTGCCTTGGGCGATCGAGATACCTGTGAGTCGCTAAAGAAAAATCGCTTTTATCTTGTGTGCTCATCTAGTACTTGTGAATGAATCTCCAGGACAACCATGGATGAAGACGAGGTTGATACGGTGGCAGCACTTTTAGGCGATCTCGTTGCATACCGTGCTGCCGGTGCAAGCCATCTCGAGTTTCTCGCTGGTAAAAGATTCATGGATAGAACTTGCAAGCAAGCTTTTGTTTATCTTTCTTTGTTTCTACAGGTGTTGCTCTTCTGAGAACTCGCAAGTCCAAGCCTCCAGTTCCGAAAGATCTCCCTCCGGCTCCCGGTCCTCTGGTCACAGAAGCTGCTCTTCTCCATCCATATGCCGTGGCTGCGTACACGGTTTGCGATTGTCAAAACAATGCTCTCAGCTTCAAAGAGTTCTCTTGCTGATCTTCCCAGGGGCCATTGCTGGACATTGGACGCACACCGCTACTCTTTCCCTGTGCTTGGATGTACCGGCAAGGACTCCTCAGCTTATGGAACCGCAGAAGGTAGCTCGAGTTTTTTCTTTCATCTCCGAGAAACAGCTAACTAAGCTTTGGCTTGCAGGAGCCCGAGTGTCGACGGTGATAATTGGTGGCGAGGCCATGCGACTGCGTTCCTTCGTGCCGCTCGCCTCCCAGCCGAGGCGCTCTTGAAAGGAAGGATTCACCAGGTTCGATGTTTGTACCATCACAAGCTTCCCGCGAGCTGACTTGGTCACTCACTATTTCAGAGAAACCGAGAGACAGTCTACTTCGTGATTGAGTTGAAGGAACTCAAGTTGGTTGTTGTCGCTGTTCGTGGGACTGAAACACCGGAGGATCTTCTCACAGATGGCCTGGGACGTGAATGCATCCTTGCCGACACTGATTTTCAAGGATTGTTCATGTAAGTAGTGCTCTCGCTCTCATTTCCTACAAGTTTGATATTCTACGCAGGTCTGGTCATTTGTCTGACACAGCAAAGCGTGAAATCTCGTCGTCAAATCCTCACTATGGCCATGCCGGTGTGGTGGCGGCGGCCAGAGAGCTTGCCTTCGAGCTGGACAGCCCTGAAGATAATCCCGAGCTTTCAGGTTTGGAAAGAAAAAAAAAGGCTTGCTCTTTGCTCATGTTTAAGTTTGTTTTTTCATTTCTTTAGCAGGTAGCTCTCGATCATCGAAAAAAACTGGTTTTTTGACTTCCATACTCGGTCCCGGTGGGAAGTGTGAAGGCTTTTCTTTGAGATTTACCGGACACTCGCTGGGTGGATCGATTGCTGTTATGGCAGGAATGATGGTACGTATGCTTGAGTTTTCCCTCTCTTGTTTTTCAATCTCTTTCTCTTTCTCGAGCAGCTATGGCACCGTTTTCCAAACTTACACACTTACGGATATGGCGTTCTTCCCTGTGTCGACGCTGTTATCGCAGAAGCGTGCTCACCGTTTGTAAGTTTCTTTCATCCTCTGCCCTGACCGTCCACCACCGTGTATAACGACGAGTTTGCATCGAGGATGTCCGTGGCTTCGCTAATGAGGCTCCGCGCGGCCTCGCTTCGAGCTCTAGCAGCGGACTCGGACACCTCCGAGTCAGCAGTGATAGCGAGAGTGGCCAGAAGGCTCTTCGGCTCATGGAGGCGAGGCAAAGCTTCCAATGGAGGGGCCGATGGCAAAACTTCCAATGGAGGAGCCACCAACGAAGACTCCAATCCAAGTCCCGGTGGAGCAACGCAGTACAAGCGTGGCAAATGCGGTCACAAGCTCAAAGGTGGAGCCTTTCTTTGCTACCATGCTTGTCACTGTGTCATGGGCATGCCCAAGGGCGCTCATGGCAGCTCGACCGTGGTAATGGGAAGGCCGGTTGGTTCCACGGCCAATGGTAGTGTTAATGGTAACGGTGGTAAGCTAGAGGCGACCAAGGTGGTGTCCGGGGAGGTTACGGTTGAGGAGAACGGTTCTGACGGGATGGTTGCTTCCCTGGATGCAGGATCTCGAGATAAAAACTCCAAGACCCGAGATGCCCGAGATGTCCGAGGTGACGAACTCGGCTCTAGTGGCGAGTTTCTCCGAGGTGTAGTGAGCGGTGAGCTGCTTAGCAATGGGATCCCGGGCCAAGGCGAGAATGGTCTTGTAGGATTCAAGCCGGGGTCGGACTTGCAAGAGATATGGCCGGTGGAGCTCGTGATGCCAGGCTTGGTCATTCATCTGGTGCGTGTTCCAGACGAGGCACCCGGCTCGTCTTCGTCTTGGTTTGCGCGGAGGAGGAAGAAACAGCACCGAGCGATCCTGAGAGACCGAGATGATTTCCGGGACCTCGTGGTGTCTCCCTCGATGTTCCTGGATCATATGCCATGGAGGTAACGTCGCCAACCTTGGTTCTTTTCTTTCGTTCTTTGTTGTTGAGATTCTGTGCTTTGCAGGTGCCAGCGCGGGTTGAACGACGTTCTCAAGCAAGTTTGCACTCGACCACTTCACGCGGACGCGGAATCACAAGACATCGAAGTCGATGGTTTCTGAAAAAACTTTCAGTTGAAAAGTGTGGAAATGACAAGCTCTTGCATGAATTTGACTCGCAAGTTTGCTTCCTTCAGTTTGTCGCACTGCTCTTCCGGGGATAAAGCTGCAACCTCCAGCCTGTGTTTGGAGAGGAAGATTAGAACCAAGACAACGAGGAGGCAATGCCATACCCTTTGTGTGAAGATTGGCTTGCGTGCGAGCTATCAGAGAGCGTGGTGAGGAAGGGATCCACTGTGTTACTGGGCGGTGGAGGGCCTAACAACGCTTGCAGATGGATCGCTCTAAGCTCCTTGGTGAGCAAAGCCAAAGTTGCGTTTGATGCTAGTGCTCCTGATCTTCGAAAACGCCGCCGTCTCTGGATGTGGATGTGTAGTCAAGGAGAATTATCTGATTTTGTTCGTGTTTCAAAACGTTTGAAAGGATATCTTGAAAAGCTGACTGTGGTCTAGCATTATGTGGCCGGCCATGTCTTTCCAAACTTTGGTTCCACAGATCGGACAGACCTGCAGCTAGATGAACTTAGCACATCGCTTGCAATAAACAAGAGAAAGAAAAGAAAAATCTAAGGAAACACAAGACAGCAGCACATATCAAACGCACAGAAACTAAAGGCACTTACTGCAACCTTAGACTCATAGCAGTGCTCGTCTTCTAAATGCGAACAAAGGACAGCAACGTCGTAATCTTCGTAGCAATAGGGACACGAGTACTCGGTACGCGACTCATCCTCGTCTGGATTATCTGGCGATGAAGAGAAAGAAATGAGAAACCATTCCAGAGACTTAGATATCCCCCGTACCTGATTGCTGGCGCTTGGGAGTTGACGAGGAAGCAGAAGAGGAGGACGAAGTGGAGGGAGCGACCGGCGCTGCAGACTTATGGTTCCGGTGACTGCTGTTACAAGCATCTCCATCGCCATCCATGTCGCAAGTCTTTGCCTTGGCCTTGCCAGTGGTGGTAGCGTTGGTGGCACGACCAAGCACCCGCCAGCGGCCCCCCTTGGGGGCCGGCCGCGGCCCCGGTACTATAACGGCCCCAGGTGCTAAGAGGGGTCCGACAAAGCCTCCGCCACCACCACCACCTCCGCTTCCTCCTCCTCCTCCGCCCCTCCCCCGTCCCCTGGCTAGCACCTCCTCGACCGTCACTTGCGCTAACCTTGGCTGCTACTACGCTAGAACAATGCATGGAAAAAGGGTTGTAGTTCCGCCTCTTCCCTGGCCCTGCTTTGCGTTCTCTCGCTTTCCCTGTGCCTTGCGCCTGGGCTTTGGTGAAGGAAGACGACGCACCACCCGGCCACCGTGGACGCCACGTGGCCGCCTAGTCGGGCCAGTTGAAAGAGCTGCGTAGTAACTCCTTGGGCACACGTCCGAATCCCTGGCTGATGCGTAGCATCGCCTCAAACTCGTCGCGGTCCTTCTTCAGGCCGGAAAGTTGCTGGAGCGCCCTCTCCATGAAGGCGTCGTAGCTCTCCAGCGATTGCTTGGACGAGTTGGACGGTGGCGGCAGCAGCGACTTGTCGGATTCCAGTTGCTGGTACTGCTTCAGGATGCGGTCCATCTGTTTCGTCAGCTTCTCCCTGGCGGTCGCGTACTCTTGCTCTTGAGCGCGCTTGAGGCCTTCCAGCGCGCGATCAATTTCTAACTGGTACTGCGGGATCAAGGAGTTCGCCGGGGGGACGACCTCGCCAGGCTGAGGAGTGAGGACGAGAGCTTTGGAGAGTGCACAAACGGCACCATCTTCGTCCAAGGGTGGAGGAGCCGGAGGAGCCGAGGAAGTATCAACCTCCATAGCTTCTTCTGCCGGAACAGCCAAATCCATCTTGTCTGCACGCTCGGGCTCTGGATCTCGCTCCGAGTTGCTAGCCTCGCCTGGAGCTCCAGAATCTACAAGGGGGAAAACCAAGCGGGTTGAGTTACATCCTCGTCGAGAAGGACGAGTCGATTCCTCTTACCGACGTGATTCGAGTTTCCATTGCATGGATCGTTACACATCCGCGTCAAAACGGCTTGTATGTCGTCACCATTCTCGGCCTAGAGGTAGAAACACACCCATCTCATCAAACGAGGAAGAGAAACTTAGCTATGGTGGTACCTTGACGAGAATGGTGCTGACGAGCGTCTCGAGCCTCTTGAGCCCGGCACGACGAGTGTTGGTGACAAGCCTGGACGCGAGCCTGGCATTCCCCTCGGCCAGCTGCTTGCTGGGAGCCGCCGCCACCGCCTGGACGAGAAGAGAGACGCGGGACAGCAAATCCGTGGTCCTGTCACACCTCCGGCACAGATACTCCACATCCAGCCCGCTCTCCACCACCACTCCCGCCAATCGGCACTGGATCGCGCACTCGAGATGCACGGAGTGGCCGCAGTAGCCGCCGCTGGCGCTCACCCTCTGGAGGCACTGGATCCACTCGTCCTGCCCCTCCGCGATGGCGCGGCTGCACAGGATGCACTTGCATTGGGGGCAAAATCCCGGCTCCGCGCAGCAAACGTCGCAGCGGAGGAGCGGCATAGCACCGAGGAGCAGAACGCTGCTGCCATTGCTCAGCGCACACTCGGGATTCTCGGCCTTGCACTGGAGCCGCCGCCCTCCCGCCATAGCGCAGCCCTTTTGCCCTAAAAGGGTATTATCCTTCCGGGGTTTTGGCAATTAAGCTATTTTCTATACTTAGATTGCTTTTTAAAATACTTTTAGGGCTTTTTGGTTATGGAAGAAGCCACATTTCGCTCGTTCGTGGCGCTGTGGCTCAAGGGCATTCTCGACGAAGCGGCTGGAGATGGAGATGGAGATGGAGATGGATCGCTTCTTCCTCCTTCATTCGCTCAGGCGCTACTTGCCGCTGATCCTTGCGTCGACCAGGAGCCAGATTGCTTGGCGGATGAGCTCGAGCTTGTTCGCTCTTGCTGCCAAGGTTTGCCTTCGTTCTTTCTATCTCTAGCTGGGAAAAATCGAAATTTGTGCTTCAGTTGATCTTGACAAGGCTTGTATCGAAGGAGTTCCTGCGTATCCACTCTACACGCAGCTGGCTGCGAACTTGTGTCGCTCCCTCGAGGATTCCAAGACCCCGGTCTTGGATAATGCGTCTGAGCTTGAAGAGGGCGAGGATCAACGAGACAGGAAACGCGAGGTTCACGCTCGGGTGAAGCAACACCTTGCTCCTCTGGCGGAGGTCTGTGCTTTTCCTCGTAACTCAGCTAAGCTGATTGCTGCTTGTTCATTCAAGGCCTTTCACGGCGTAAGGTTTCGACTACACGTCCAAGACAGGTTCCTGTCTCAACTGCGAGGTGCGATGTGTTTTTTAAGTGTATCGCATTCTCATGCCTTGTTTTCTTTCATTGTTTTGACCACTCTAGATGGATCGAAGATAGTAGAAGGGAGGTGCGCAACTGGTTTCTATTCAAGGTGTGGCAGTAACATACTCTTGAGTACACAGTTTTCTCTTCTTTTGCCTTTTTTCTGTGTAGAATCCGCCCTGGAGATTATCTCCTCTTTAACGGGGTTCTGGTTATGGAAACGAAGGTCAGTAAATGCCGATGATAGTGTTCATATGTCTATATCCCCTTCTGCAGGACGTTCGGGCATACGAAAGCTTTCAGAACATGCTGGAAACGGAAGGGCTTGAGAACGTCCTTCCTGGTATTGAAAGCGTGGAAGAAGGTAGCTCATGAAACCGGTCGATTGCTTGTCAAGATTTTCTTGATGTAGGCATTGGCATCTACCGTGGTTTCTACTCCAGGGAAACTGAAGCTCTCGGTGTTTTGGCACTTCATGTCTCCCAACCTATCCAGCCTCGCAACGCTGTCACTGCGCTGCTGCAAGTGCGTAAGAGTTGCTTGAGTTTGTCTCGGTCGAATAACAAACTCTTTCTCTCAGAGCCTCAAAGTCGAAGGCGTAGCGTCACTTCTTGGACTAAGAGCAACAAAAGGAACACTTGTGTCTGCCCTTCCACCGCCGAGATCTCGTCTTCTCGCATCTTTTCTTGCGAGAAATTCAGAAAGTGTAAAAGTATAATTGTATTTGCCTTGGCTAACAGTTCGCTTCGTGCCAGGTACCCTCCAGTAAGCTCACTGTAGGAGGCCGTGCGTTGGCCAAACATGTGAATCGAAGTTCTGCTGGCTGGTGGGGTGCTTGCAGTGGAACAGGTCTGCTCTATTCTTTGCTTGTTTTCAGTACGGAAATACCTTCTTTCTCTTTTGTGCTTAGAAACTGCAAAGAACAAGATAGCGTTGAAAGCGGTGTGTCGAATTATTGATCAAGCTTCCTGGATGAACATACACCATCTTCCTCAGTCAACACATATATTTGAGATCCGTGTACAAGATGGATATGGTGCAAGGTGGTCATCTGATGGAAAGCAGGTATACGATCTACACACAGCATTTTTCTTATTCGCACGGTAGTTCAGAGGTTTCGTGGAGCCACCCATGAAGGACGGCCATTCCTCCAAATGGAGGCATTGAATGGTAGCTGTGTTGGAAACATCAGATCCGTATTGGTTTTACTTTGAGAGGTGCCAATGGATTTCTCGGTACAAAATTTGGTAATCTTGCCATTCCGAAGTTGATATTCTTGTGGGACTGGATTTACTGCAAGAGAACGATACGTCGATCTCTTCTTCCTGAAAGGTACTTAAGTTTCTCGGTTGTTTCTGTGCTTTTCTCTCACAAAGTCTTGTGTTTCACAGATGAAAGCTTGAAAAGTAGTGGTGTCCCATTCAATCTGCTACACAGCCTGGCTGGTTCAAGTACGTAGACGATGGTTTTACTTTGCTTCACTTCCAGATATCAGAGTTCTAACAGGATCGACAGCTGGGTTGAAGCCCGTATGGCATGGATCCTTGTCCAGGACGTGGAACAATACGGTACGTTGGCATGCATTTTGTAACCTAAAGCTTTCACTAGTGTTAGCAGCTAGAAATAGTACTTGGCCTTTGGTGTGGGACTGATGCATATGTGAGACCTTCTCCTTCTCCTTAATGTCTAGACAGCTTAGTTTCTCCCACGAGACACACGCATTTGATTCCATGAGGTAAGTCATCGCCTCCCAAGGGATTATAGTTCTCAAACCCAAAAGCAAAAAATCATGTCTAGTTCTTTTCTAGTAGTGGGCTTCACTTCATCTATTTATTAAATATATTATTTTCATTTTATTATTTTTTAAGTAAGTAGTTACTAACAAAATCTTTTAAATAGTACTTGGTTGATTTCATCAAATATAAAGTTTTTTTTTTTAAAAAAGAAATTCATATATAGTGAAGTTTTAGAATAATTTGTCATTCTCACATAAATATAGAAATTTTTTAAGTTTATTTTATTTAATCATTTTTATTTTCTAAAACTAGTAAATATCCAATTTTATAAGCTTGCAATTGTTTTATATATAGAATTATGTTATATAATAGAAATAATTAATTTTATAATAAAATAAATTTATATTGATTGACTAATAACTTTGTTAATTGAATATAATTATATATAATTATCTTTCAGTATTATAAATCATAAGCTTAATATTATTAAAACTATTATAAATATAAAAATGTTTGCTATCAAATACTGAATTTTACCAGAAAATAGTTTTTTCCTTATATTGAAAAATAGTCATAATAAAATTGTAGCAATAGTTTTGGAATAACTGCTGGTCATAAAAGTTTGATGAAATAAATATCAAAATAAATATATTTTTGAATTTTTCATTTAATTATTTATTTAAGCTCTTTATTAAATAATAAATAAATAACTTATTTATGTGTAATAAAGGATAATTGTTTTTTGTTTATGTCATAATAAGAATATATAACCGCATGAGAGATATGATCTAGAAATTGCTCGTAACACATCCCTCCCTCCCGCAAAATGTAAAGATTAAAAAAAGTAATTCAATATGCCAAAAAATGCGTAAGGAAGAAGAAAAATGAATCTAGAAGTAATACTTTATTATAAATTTTAATATATAAATTATTTTATATACATTTTACTAGTTTTTATTTTTATCTATTAAGAAAAAACTTTATAAAACTAAATTATTAACCTATTATATATCTACTTTTAACCAATAATTGTTTTCCTAGATTATTAATTCTTATATTATACTATATAATACCAATTTATAAAATATTATTTTTTATTTTATTTTCTATCAAGAAGGTTGAGTATTATGAGTCTTTTGCATATTTTGCCTGGCTCAAATATTTTTTAACACAATATATTGTTTAATTATTATTATTTTCAAATATTTTATAGTGTAAGATTTGTGTGCGTATGTGTGTGTGTGTGTGTCTATATATATATATATATAACCCTAGTTAAATAATATACTAATTATGGTACTATAGCATATGTAGCACACCTTATGTCTCTTTGCTTAAGCCAACTGGAAAAGGGGCAATTACTTGATAAAAGAGCCCTTAATAGTAACTTTTCTTTTCCCAAGACCACCAAGATGGAACTTTGATAAAACTCTGCATTGTTACCATAGCCATAACTTGCCTAGTCTAAGAAAAGAGAGGTTTCATATTCTCTTCTCCCTTATACATTCTTCTGGATGTTTTATCCCTATTTATCCTCCAAGGTTCCAAGGATTTATGGTGACAGTATATTTAAATCTCATCCCACAATCACATGCGTTACAGCATATAAATTATCTATTTGGGACTAAATTTAATTCATCCATTCTTAAATAAAAGGTAGTGCAATTTGTTCTGAAAGGGCAAAGCCTTTTAACAATGTTTTATTCTAGTATTTGAGATTGTGTTTTTTATTCTTATTTCTTCATTCTCTTTTAGATTTAGATCTATATTAGCTTTTTGCAAAATCTAGAATTCTAACTATTGTTATATTTAGCTTTACTTTTCTTTTAATCTTCATTGCATTTTCTTCTTCTACCATGCCACGTTTTCATGAATGAAAGGATATATCACTTGAGGCTAATGACATTATTCTGTTAGATTGACTTTTTTGTGTTGTTATGATTATATATTGGTGTTACACCCATCTTTTGTATGTTGTTGTTTCCAACTTTCGTGGGATATGATTATATAGGTTGTCTTATTCTTGGTGCCCATTGATATGGAACATGATGTGATATCGATTAGCAAGCTATAGATAATGCAATCTAGTTGTTAGAGAATGTTTAAGGATTTAGTTTATAGGAAGATAATGTATACAAACTCATTCCAAATTATGATGATGAGCTTGATTATTTTAGAGATGAGTTGGTGTTGCGAATGTGTTGCAAAGGGGGAGGTGAGGGGGCTGGGGGGTTTCCAAATGTATAATAGTGTATAGTAGGGATAGTGGGTAGATCAAGCATAGCTGACCAATAACATAAAGATATAGGTACTCCACTAGCTAACATAGTGTGGAACTTAGGTTTAGACCATGAGCAGATGAATCAAATTTTTATGGAGAAAGGTTGAGTCTTTGTTAACCTTGATGTCATTTTGGACCATACTCACGCAAAACAAAGTCAGATATGCAAATGAGAGTTAGATTTTAGGGGCTATAGATATGTTAAAATAGCACTAAACTCTATTTAACTTTATTTTATGTGTTAGTATTAGCATTGGGATGTTAGATGCTTTAAGACTTTTCTAAATTGTTCCGTTCTTTTATCTTTACACTCTTTAAGTTGTACACTCAAAAGTCACTCTATGCTTTAGTTCCTTTGTTCCTTGGCTTCGGCTCCATTCCTTTATTCAATGGTCTAAGGCTTTGAAACTCAAGTTCCACTCCACTATCCTTGGACACATTGTATATAGCATGTAACATATAACATGTGCCACATAAAGGGTTTAAATTCCTCTTCATGGTTATTTTATGGTAAATCACCATAGAATAAAGGGTGAAAACCACTTGTGCTACTATTGGAGATTAAATGTTAATGTTTCAATTTGCCATCTGAATATTTCTTTTTACCTTCTACTCTTTCCCAACATTTTTTTATTTCTCAACTTAAACCATCTTCTCATGCTTCTAGTGTTTCTTCATCTATAGTGTTTTCTTCTTTTGACACGTCAATCATTTATAACTTATAATTCTCATTCTTAATCCAATATTGAGTTGAATTCTTCCTGACCTCCTCATACTAATCTAGATGTTAAGTATATGTATGAAGTTTGATTATTTCAATTTTGCTTCATTGGTAGAGCCTTTAATTAGTTCTAATGTTGAGCATTCCCACATTCCAAATGTTGAGTCATTTTGGCCAGAATTTCAAATTGAGTGTGTATCTTTACTTGTTAATGCTATTAAAAGCCTTTGTTTTACCATTTCTACTGAGAAATTTATGTATTTTCTTAAGAGTGTGAACATTTTTATTGATTTTCCTTTCTCAAGTGTTAAATTATATGTTAAGGAGGTTGAACAGTATGAATCTTTTACTTATATTATGGTGGTTAAAGTATTTTATGACAGGAAGTTCCCAACTTTGAGTATATATCCTTTTTTTTTATTTCCCCATTTCTGCATTGACAACTATTGAAAATTCCTCTTTCAAAGTTCTTTATCCATTTTTTCTTCTTTTATAATGATTTTTCCTCAATTTTTCTCACTTTCTCTTCTTTGCCCTAATACTTAAACTTTTTTTTCTTTAGAGGAACAAATGGGAGTTTGACCTTAACAATGGAATGAGGATAAGTAGATACAATAATGTAGTGAGAATGAATGGCATGAACTATAGAGTGAGGACAAATATAATGAGTTTAAATAGAATATCCAACCCCAATGTAATGAAATTGAACGAATGGGATAGTGAAATGAGGTTAAACACATATGGCAATGTAAGAATAAATAGAGCTAATGTTTCAAAACTTTTTTTTCATTTAAGGGGGGGATAAAGAGGTTATGAAAGACAAATAGAATGAGTCTAACCTCCTATATCTGGTGCTAGATAAAGACAAAGGTGGTGAGTCTGAGTTAACACGGGTTTGGATGTTGACGATATTGACTAGTCTTACTTATGGTTATAAATTTGACTTAATGGTTATCTCAAAGGATTTTTGGCAAGTAGATTTAAAAGTAGGATGTATTATTTGTTGCAATGGTATTTCATAGACTACAATAGTTTTTGAAGTCTTTTGTTTTGGTTTAAAGTTATAGCTTTGACATTGGTTTAAGCATTGGTAGTTGTGTATAGAGTTACAACTAGTTTATTAAAATTCTATATTCAATTAATATTAAACTTTGGTTTTGGATTTTGTTTCAATCATGGTTGTCAACAACTTTGTTAATGGTTTTATAGGAGTTTTAAATTTTTGTGGTAGTTTATAATCGCTTAATAGAAACTCCAAATGTTTCACCTGATTTATTATCATCACCTTTTCATCTTCCAGAGGGAGATGGTGTAAGATTTGTAAATATGTATTACTCTAATTAGGTAATACACTAATTATAGTACTATAGTATATAGATTATTCATTTGGGATTGAATCTAATCCATTCATTCTTGTATATAAACCTAAATCTCAATTAATATATCTATTCCTATATATCTGTATTTCAAAATATTAAAATATAAATATATTATCAAATTTTAAAAACTTTTTTGTCAATTAAAATTATAAATCTAAATTATTATATAAATAATAATATAAATTTTATTTTAATTTTATAGTAGAACTTCTATTAACTAAAATTTAAAATCAAACTTTATTTTTCTTAAGTAAAGGGTGGTAGTGCATATACTTAAAATATGCTTGGATATTTGAAAATATTCTACTGTCTAATAGCTGTTAATTTATATACATGTTTAAAATTTATAACCTTTCCTAAACATTTTCTAGTTTATTCTAATTTATTCTATGATAGATGTAAATTATAAACATAATTGGATTAATAAATAATACTACACACATTTTCCTTGAAGAGTCAGTTTTTTCACCTTCATGTGTTGGCCCTTAATCAACCACGAATGGTCTTAAGCTCTTTTTGTCTTGTTCTTTCTATGTCTAGCTGGAAAAAGAAATTTCTGTTGATCTTGACAAGGCTTGTTCCTGCTTGTGCAAACATGTGTCAGCCCTGGAGGGCCTGGATAATGCTTCGAAAGGATTAGCGAGAGAGAAACCCAAGTCGGGTGAAGCAACACGTTTTACCTCTAGCAGAGGGGAAGCAGCTCTATTATTTGTCTGGCCAAGGTGATTGCAAATTTTCGATGTTTGTGCATTTTTTTTCGAAAGCAGGTACACTATCTATGTAACATACTTGCGTTGTCACATTATGGTTTCGCATGGTAGTTCAAAGGTTTCGTGAGCATGGAGGCATTGCATGTTTTCTTGTGGTAGCTGCGTTGGAAACATCAGCTCCGTATTCACTCTTCTTTGAGAGACGTCTGCCATACAATTTCTCGGCAAAGGTCTTGAAGCGTGGTCTGATTCCCTTGGAGACATAGTTAGCTGGTTTGTCCTGATACTGGATGGATTTGCAACAAGAGCAATGGGATCCCTTCTTCTTCTTCTTTTCCTTCTCCTTCAGCTTCTTCCTGAGAGGTATTGCATTTAAAGTTCCTTGTATTCTACCATTCTTTTTCTCTCACCAAAGTCTTGTTGTTCACAGACTGAAAGTTTGAAAACTCTCAGCAATAAATCCCGGTGTCCCTTTCGATCTGCTACGCGTGGCACGCTGCCTGGCTGGTTCAAGCGAGCAGACGGGCTTCTCTGGCATGTCTTTAAATTTCATAAAACACAGAAAAGCTCTGGAGGAGGGACGAGACTCTTTTTGTCGTCAGCAATAGAAGTATGTGACCTAATGGTTTTACCATCATGTTTTACATGCTCTCCACACAAGCATCCAACAAAGCGGATCATACGTCGATATCGAGATCAAAGCGATCCCTGATCACGCCACAAGATTTGGAAGGAATGACGGTGTCAACGACATTATAGCTTTTCCAGGAAATACCAGTCATCCCACTGCAGCCATTAAAATCTCTTGCAGGAAGTTCATGACTTGCCATGCCTACGCCTGATTTTGCTGATTCTCGTTTGCAGGAAAGACTGGAAGAGAGAGCTCAAGCCGTACGGAATGGTTGGTTGATTAAGTTATTGTCTTGTTCCAGGACACTGAGTCGAGCACCACCTCTGTCTTCTTACATGCAGGAAGCCTCTGCCGCAATGTACTGGTACATCGTCTGAAATGGTGACCAGAGTTTTTCAAGGCGCAAAGCCCGACGGGGTCATGGCCAAGCGGATGAATGCTGCGCTCCTGCTGCTGTTGCTTAGAAGGTTGATAATTGTTCCTTCCATGCTGCTCATTTGCGTTTTCTGCATTTGGACTGTGTTTGGATTGGCAGCATTCACAGTTTTCTCTCAATCTCGCCACTGCACAGCTCAAAAATGCACGTCCCTCGCCAGGAGGTGGATTGTGTTGTCCGAGCTGAAGTCCTCGGAGGCTTTTCCCTCCAATCTGCTGCTCAAGGAGCAAGTGCTGCCAAGCGATGGATTTGGGAGGTCGACCAAGTCCACCACCACGGATCATCAGCAGGGAGCCGAGGATGGAGATACTGTGACAGATTTGGAGATGGAGGACGCTGAGGCTGCTGGTAACAACGGTCATAGACGTGGTGATGAAGAGGCGAGTCTACCCTTGGAGCTCAAGTCCCTGGGATTCTCAGGTGAGAAGGGCAATGCAAGACGACAGATGATCGAGAACAGGGTGCTAGGAACAGGGGAGGAGGATGTGGAAGACGAGGATGACGACTATGGTGAAGACGAAGACGAAGCTGATGAGACTCAAGAGGACAGCAGAGTTATCAGGCCGGGACTTTTGCGGATCATGGACGAGTTGCGAGAGCACTCTCGGAACGAGGACAATGCAGTGGAAGAACCATCGTCGTCGTGCAGCGGGAAGTGGATCTACAGCTACAACCTTCCGGCGAGATTCAACGCGGACCTGGTTGCTCTGTGCGACCGCATTCTCCCGTGGTACTCGATGTGCGACTACTTCGAAAACTCTGGCATGGGCAAGGCGGTGACGACGGACAGGGCCGGGGTGCTCAAGCCCGCCGGGAGGTGGCACAAGACCAACCAGTACATGCTCGAGGTCTTGTTTCACGCTCGGCTCAAGGAGTACGCCTGCCTCACGGATGATCCGGCCAAGGCGCAGCTCTTCTACATCCCATACTACGGAGGCCTGGACGTGTTCCGGTACGTAAAAACGCTTCTCTAGCTCCTCGAGAGACCGACACACGATGCATGCACAGGTACCACTACGCCAACGTGAGCTACGAGCAGAAAGACGAGCTCGGGGTGGAGCTCATGGGACTGCTCGAGCAGCACGAGTCGTGGAGGCGAAACGGGGGGATCGATCACTTTTTGGTGCTGGGAAAGATCACCTGGGACTTTCGCCGGACGGACACCGAGTGGGGAAACACGCTGCTGATGCTACCGGGGCTCGAGAACGTAACTCGACTGCTGCTGGAGCGCGACCCCTGGAACGCCAACGACGTCGGAGTGCCGCACCCGACGTACTTCCACCCGGCCTCGGATAGGGACGTGGAGGAGTGGCTGCATGCCGTGGCGTCGTCCCGCCGCGACGCGCTCTTCAGCTTCGCGGGCATGCCGCGGACAACCGACTCCATCCGCGCGGTGCTCATCGCCATCTGCACCAGCCAGCCACGACTCTGCCGCTTCCTCGAGTGCTCGGGGGACGTTTGCCTCCGGCCCGAGTCCACCACGGAGCTCTTCCTCGCCTCGCACTTCTGCCTCCAGCCAGTCGGGGACAGCGCGACGCGGAGGTCGGTCTTCGACTCGCTCATCGCGGGATGCATCCCCGTGCTCTTCAGCCAAGAGACGGCCTACGTCCAGTACCCGTGGCACTTGCCGGCTCGGCTGGCCGACTACTCGGTCTACGTCCCCGCCGAGGACGTCAAGTCGGGCACCGTGGACATTGCCCGGCTGCTCGCGGCGATCTCGCCATCCCGGCGGCGGCGCATGCGACGTACCATCGTCACTCGGATCATCCCCCGACTCCTCTACGCCGCCCCGGCCGCCAACCTCACCACCTTTCGGCGGGATGCGTTCCAAGTCTCCATTACGAGCTTGCTGGAGAAGTCTAGATCCGCGCTCGCGGCCCTGGAATCAAAGTTATAGTTTTGCTTGTGCTTGTGGTCGATTGAGTGAGATCTAAAGGTGTTGTGACAAGCAAGAGCATTGCCGTGGGTGGGGTCTGCTTCCACTGCGAAAAAGAGAGACGCACTCTTTAAAGTTTGTTGTGTGGATTTCACACACTCGCGATTGTTTGCGTGACAATGCCATGAAACTCGCCCGATGAAGACGAGACGATCCTTGGCCAGATTGCGAGATCGAGCGATACTGCTTTGCTAGACAACTGCTGGTCCGTGAAGAACAAGGACACGCGGGTGGGGTCTCTCAAGAACTAGACCCACCGGGAATATTCCGCTAACGGCGGTTGACGCCCGGCATGATGCCCATGCCATGCCATGCCCATCATATGCGGTCATGGTCCCATTCATCGCTCCCTCTTTGTGTTCTTCGTCGCGTGATTTGTTTTTGCCTCCCACGCCCCCATCCAAGTTAAAACCAAACAGAACCATCCCTCCGCGCACCATCCGATCTCCGCCGCCACCGCCATCTCCTCCGTCCAATCCATCCACCTCGCAAATTCCGTAGACCAAGCACACAAGAGCGAGAGAGAAAGAGAGAGAAGCACAAAAAAAAAAAAAAAAAGAACGAACAAAGAGAAAGAAGAACGCGAGGCAAAAGAAAAGCGCTCCTTTTGGTCGTGTAGTGTAGTGTAGTGTAGCCATCCAGCCAAGCCCAGCCCAGCCCAGCCCAGCCCGGCCACCATTTTGCGCCATCGTAGAGCCACAATCGCCCATCACCGCCACCATTGGGTTTTGTTGGCTAGTCGTGCGTGCCGGAGAGAGTGAGAAAGAGAGAGAGAGTGAGTGAGAAAGAGCCAGTCGTCCATCCAGTAGGAATTTTTTTTTCCTTAATTTTGTGTGTGTGTGGTGGAGTAGTAGTGGTGGTAGTAGTAGTCGTCGTCGTCCAAACCCAACCCCATCACCATGCTCATGAGGAAGAAGATAGAAGGAACCAACAACAAGACGAAGTCGTCTCCCTTGTTCTTCACCCCACCCGATTCCCCCGATCCGATATCGTCCCCGCCACCCCAATCCTCGCCGCCACCGCCCCGCTTGCTCCTGCTGCCGCTGCCGCTGCTACTGCTGCTGCCGCGGCCAAGGAGAAAAAGGAAAAGAAAGAAAGAGAGAGAGACAGAGAGAGAGAGAGAAGGAAGTTCTAAGAGAGAAGAATTAGAACTCTTTGCGAGCGAGCGAGGCGAGGCGAGGGCGCGCGAGAGTGAGAGTGATCACACACCCCAATCCCACAAACAAGCCCTCTTCTCTCTCTCCTTCTCACTCTCTTCTCTCTCAAACTAGACTATACCACGCACCCAAATCCGTGTTGTGAGATTAAGATTAGCAGTCTCGGTCCCCGGTGGTGGTGGTGCTTCTCCTCCCCATCCATCCATCATCCCCAGAAAAGGCCACCAGTTTTTTTTTTTTTTTTCCTTTCTCTCCTCTTTGTTTCCTCCTCTCCCATCCCATCTCTTGTTCTTTCCCCCTTTTTCTCTCCGTTTGGTACCCGATTCATCCGTGTAGCGTTGCCCTTCCATTCGATCTCTCGCTTGCTCGCGTAGATCCGCGCCGGAGGCGACTTGGGTTGCTCGGATCTGGGGTGCGGCCGTGTTCTTGAGCGCGCTGGGGCATGGAGGGCGACGACAAGCCGCGCAAGGGAGAGGACAAGGATAAGGGTCTCAACACCAAGCGCAAGATGAAGACGCCCTCGCAACTCGAAATTCTCGAGAGGGTCTACGCCGGTGAGTGATTCCCCTCCCCTCGCTCTCGATCGATTCGTGCTTCTTCCTGTGGTGGATTGATTGGTTTTCTCTCTTTTTTTTTTGTGTGTGTTCTTCGTGTTCTTCGTGCTGTTTAGAGGACAAGTACCCCTCCGAGGTGGTCCGCGCGGAGCTCTCCACGAAATTGAGCCTCACGGACAGGCAGCTCCAGATGTGGTTCTGCCACCGGCGGCTCAAGGACAGGAAGGGCGACGAGGGCGGCGCCCCTCCTGGAGCTCCCGCCGCGACCTCGTCAAAGAAGCAAAAGAGGAAGAAGGACAAAGAAGCTGCCACCGGTGCTGGCGGCGCGGCGCTCCTCTTGCTGCCTCCTCCTCCGCCTCTTCCTCCAAATCCAAGCCCAGCGTCCATGCTTGGAGCAGCGGTCGATCTCCCGGATGCCAAAGTAGCAGCAGTGGCAGCGCCGGCGGGTGGCGAGGAAGTCGCCAAGGCGACGACGATGACGACGAAAAAGGAAGGTGGCGGTAAGAAGCGGAGCGCGGCAGCCATGGCCGCCGAGGAGCTCAAGCGCGAGCGGGAGGTGATCACTCTGGTGGAGCAGCAGCTCGGGGAGCCGATCCGAGAGGACGGACCCGTGCTGGGAAGGGAGTTTGATCCGCTCCCTCCCGGACCCTTCGACACTCCTATAGGTACGTAAGCATGGCTGGATATGTCTGTGGTTTCGCGAAAACGCAGTGCTTGAGATGATTTGTGTGCTTGCATGGCAGACTCGTCGACGTTCTCGCTCAATGCGGCCGAGCTCAAGGTAAGATCGAGGAAGAGTTTGTTCTCTCGGTCGTGTTCTCAGGCGTGTTTTCGTGTTTTTCAGGCTCCAGGAGCTCCAGAGTTGGGTAGCAGCCGGCGGACATCCCCGCTGACGAGCAGCAGGACGATTCCCCGGGAGCACCAGTTCATTCCGGAGCATCCAACCGGAGCTCAGTTCCAGCCTTGCAAGCTGGAGAGGGACGGCAAAGGAAAGGCGCAGCAGAGTAGCAGCTCGCTCACGGATGCCAGAGTTCCGAACCTCTCCTTGAATTTCCTGCCGCATGGTGACGCTGATGCCGGCGTGGAGGAGCAGCTACTCAAGCCGTCTCACGTCGTGATTCCTGAAATGCCCGAGCCGCCGCAACCCGGAAGCAGCAAGAAACGCAAGGTAAAAATCTTAGCTTTGAGGCCAGGCTTACGTGTGCATAGGTCCAGAGTGACGACGCAAAGCTCGCCCGGGAGCTCGAGGCCCAAGAGAAGAAGCTCAAGAGAGAAGCTGAGAAGCAGGAAGCGGCACGCCGCAAGGTAAGCTAACTTACTTTGTTCTTTATAGTCTGTGACACGGTTGGCTGGCAGAGGGAAGAGCAGGAGAGAAAAGAGATCGAGAAGATCAACAGAGAGAGGCAGAGGGAGCTGGAGAAGATCAACCGCGAGAGGCAACGCGAGGAGGAGAGACATCAACGCGAGCAGAAGAAAGAACAGGATCGCTTGGAGAGACTGGCTCAAAAGGAGCAGCAACGGGTGAGGGTGTATGGCTTTCAAAGTTTAGGACTAGCTGATCACGAGACATTGGTGGTGGTTTCAGCTGGAGAAGTTGCGCTTGAAGGAGGAGGTCCGGCGGCAAAAAGAGGCTGCGAAGCTCCAGGCCGCTTACGAGCGAGCGACCGCAAAGAAGCTTGCCAAGCTTTCCACGGGTCTGATGGACGACGAGCAGCTAGAACTCATGCAGATGGGCGCGTTTGTTCAAGGACTCGTCTCCGGTGATATGGAGGGTGGCTCGGCTTTCGACCCAAGCAAAGGTTTGGAGCTATCTTGCTGTTCTTGTGTTTAAAGTTTTCTATTTTCCGCGCAGTGGAGCTTAAGAAGTACCCGCCAGCTTCAGTGCGGATGAAGAAGGTTCTTGGAGTCTCGCCTTGGGATTCTGTGCAGAACGTTTCCAATCTTCTTATGGTGAGCGCTAGTTTTTTTCCAGCTTCCAGCCAACTTAACTCGTGTTGCCAAACAGGTCTGGGGATTCTTGACCACATTCTCGGACGCCATTGGGCTGTGGCCATTTACAGTCGACGAACTCGTCCAGGGGCTTCATGACTTTGTAAGTTTTTGAGCGTTGCTCGTCCTTGGCCTGCTAGAGCTTCGTGCTTTTCCACGTTTGTGCAGGATTCCAGGCTCCTCAACGAAACTTACATTGCGCTGCTGAGGACTTTGATCAGAGATGTGGAAGATGCCGCGCAAGCAGCGGCGAGTGGAACCGCTGGAAGTCAGCACGCGATTGCTGTTGCGGCTGGTGGTCACCCGCAGATTGTTGAAGCCGTAAGCTAGCGGTTTTTTCCTTCTTCTGTCTTGCGTGTTTCTTGACCAGGCATGGTGTGCTCTCGCAGGCTTATACGTGGGGTTTTGACATTCAGGAATGGGGCCAGCATATGAGCCCTCTAACGTGGCCAGAGATCCTTAGACAGTTCGCACTGGCAGCCGGTTATGGACCGAGGTGGAAGAAAAAAACGCAGTCACCCGATGCAAAGCCGGATTGTATCGAGGTATTTTTTATTCCTTCTCGTGTTTTTCTCTTACGTGCCGTGTCGTGCAGATACACGATGGCCACAACGCGAATGCGATCGCGACGCTGCGCTCCGGGGCTGCTGCAGTGAATGCTGTAGCTCTCATGCGTGGCAAGCATGGCACTCGACTAAAGGTGCGCAAGGGCCAGACTCCCAAGCTTACTCCGGGAACTGTCAAGTACGCTGCGTTCCACGTCCTGTCCATTCAAGGCAGCAAGGGCCTTACCATTCTGGAGCTAACAGACAGGATACAGGTAACTCGAATAGATGTAGACTTTGCTCGTTAAGCTGTCTAAGAGGGGGCTCGTGTTGCAGAAATCAGGCCTTCGGGACTTGTCATCGAGCAAGACACCGGAGGCGTCGATCTCAGCTGCCTTGTCCAGAGACACGTATCTGTTTGAGCGTGTTGCGCCGTCAACTTACTGCGTCCGTTCGCCGTTTCGAAGGGACCCGGACGATGCGGAAGATGTGCTGCAAGCTGCACTGGAGAGGACGTATTTGTATCAGACTCGGCAGCTGGACCCGGAGAAGGCAGACGAGGACGTGGAGGATGCCGAGGAGGAGTCCGAAGGCGAAGAGCACGAGGTTGAAGAAGCGGAGCATGAAAGCGAGCATATGGACGCGGAAGTGGAACGGGCCGAGCAGCATCAACAGCACGAGGATGCTCGCGAGCACGACGAGAGCGGGCATGCCTCCGAGAGCTACGAGACTCCACGGAGGGGTAAAGTTATTCTGCGGTTAAAAACGGGGAAGCCTCAAGATAGTGCGGGTGAGGCAACAGCAACAGCAGCAGCTGGAACAGCGGAGAGCTTTGAGACGGAAACACCAGCAGCAGTAGCAGCAGTAGCAGCACT